GGCAACTTGGCAAGACCTTGTCTCTACAATAAATCAAAAATTAGCTGGGCATGGTAGCATACACCAGTAGTTTTGGCTACTTGGAAGGCTGAGATGGAAGGATCACCAGAGCCCAGCAGGTTGATGCTTGGGTGGCCATGAGTATGCCACTGCACTCCAGCCTGGTCAACAGAGTAAGACTCCAACTCAAATAAATAAATAAATAAATATCAGAAAAGTATGTTTTGTTTCTTGTTTGTATTTTGAAAAAGTTTCAAGAAAAAGTGTGTTTGATGTGAATATATTATCTTTCTATGACATAATGCCAAATCTCTTCCTAAATACTCCAGTATATACTTCACAAAACAAGGATACTTGACTACATTACCCACATACAACCCTCCCAATCAGGGAATCAACATTTGATTAATTCAGAACCAATCCAGAAACATACTCAAATTTTACCAAATTTTCCAACAATGTCTCTCTTTCAGGTTCCAGCATCCTATCCAGAAACATGTACACTGTATTTAGTTAACCAATTGCCTCAGTCTCCTTCAATCTACAACAGTACTTCAGTCTTTCCCTATCCCTCTTTCATGCCCTTGATGGTAAAGAGTAGAGGCCTTTCATTCTCTAGGATGGCCCCTCAATCTGATGTTATTCATAATCAGGTTCAGGTTCAGAACTAGAAAGAATATACACAAATGATACTGTACAGACTAAATCTCTCCTCTCCATCTGTAGAGATGTTAACCTCCATCATCTGGTCAAGTTGGTGTGGCCACATTTCCCCATTGTAAAGTCACTATTTTCCTTTTGTAATTGATTATATATTACAGATAATTCATTCTGATAATTCACCAATGTTCTGTTTCTCATCAAATCTCCACAGACCACCAGGCATGGTGGCTCACACCTATAATCCCAGCACTTTGGGAGGCGGAAGTGAGAGGAATTCCTGAGTCCAGGGGTTCAAGACCAGCCTGGGTAACTTGGCAAGACATCATCTCTACAATAAATTTTAAAAAAAAAATTAGTCAAGTGTGGTGGCATACAGCTGTGGTTCCAGCTACTTGGAAGGCTGAGGTGGAAGGATTGCCTAAGCCCAGCAGGTCAAGGCTGCAGTGGCCATGAGCATGCCACTGCACTCCAGCCTGTAAGACAGAGTGACTCTACGACTCAAAAAAGAGAAGAGATTTCCTCTCCCTCCCATTCATGCATATCAGTATGAACTCATGGATTCTTATTTTATTGTATATGTCATAATTCCTTACCGTCCTTATTTATTTTCTTGTTCAAATTATATCAGATTGGCCAATGCAAGCCCCTTCAAAGTAGTTCCTGTATCTTTTAACACATCCCTATCATCTGGGATACTTCCTTATTTTCTGGCACAACAGAATTCTCTAGGCCCATTTTGTACTTTCATCTCTGGCCCTAGAATTAGCCACTTCTCCAAGGAGCCCTGGTTCCCTTTAGTCAAGGACAACATTTAGAATCCAAGATCTGGATACTAGGGTGCTCACTATTACTGGGGTTTCACTGCTATGAAGCCCTCTCTGAATACAGAGCTAAGAAATATACAAACATCTAAACTTATTTCTATAACTGAGCATAAATTTTTTAAATAGGCTTACACTAGTACTTCTTTACTTTTTATTCTACATTTATTTTTTGTAGAGACAGTCTCACTGGGTGAGCTGCCCCCAACTCCATACCTTTATTTCTATTCTTTCCCCTTCTTTATTTATAAACCCCTCTCAACAAGAAACCTGGTTTCCATTATCTTCAATATATTTATTTGCTCTTTCAATTCATTTATTCAATGTAACCAACCTCTCAACCAGAGTCTTCCTTCACTCATCACATTTCTATCAAGCCTTTCCCTCTTTCCTCAAATTATAGGAAGGTCACTGTCTCTGCATAACACCCTCCTCTCTACCTTCCAATTCCACAGATGCCAAGAGTAGTCAGGTGTGGTGACTCACGCCTGTAATCCCAATACTTTGGGAGGCTGAGGCAGGAAGACTGCTTGACTCCAGAAGCTGGAGATCAGCCTAGCAAGACCTAGTCTCTCCAAAAAAAAAAAAAAGAGGCTAGGAAAGATTGGGAAGAGAGAGGAGGGAAGATTAACCTTTTCTTTGGAGAATATTTAATTTATGTGCTAATATTTTATAGAGTATCAGTTGATATTCCAAATCAGTATTTCAATGGTACATATGATAATCTTCAAATGCTATCATATAAGAATATTTGAGAAAATCTAGTTTCCCTTTATGCTACAAATTTCTGTTAAGAAAAAAAATATAAAAACTATTTCATAGCCAGGCATGGTGGCTCACGTCTATAATCCCAGCACTTTGGGAGGTGGGAGGATTGCCTGAGTCCAGGGGTTCGGGACCAGCCTGGGAAACATGGCAAGACCTCATCTCTACAATAAATCAAAAAATTAGCTGGGCATGGTGGCACACACCTGTAATTCCAGCTATTTGAAAGGCTGAGGTGAAAGGATCCCCTGAGCCCAGCAGGTCAAGGCTGTAGTGGCCGTGAGTATGCCTCTGCATTCCAGCCTGGGTGACAGAGTGAGACTCCTACTCAAAAAATGAAAGAAAGAAAAGAAAAGAAAGTTAACATTTCATAAATGCAGGTACTGAAGTTTTCCAAACATACTCTGGAAATAAGTACTATGTACTACTGAATTAAAGACAAAAAAAATAGTAAAATATTTGAAGTCTACCAATTTTTAAAATAATCTGAAAATTAAATAACCTCAGTATATAATTATTTGAATATCAGTTTAAGTGAGTATATAAATTTATTTATGAGTCATTCTCATATTCTAATGACTGTCTTCAGCACTACTAAGAAGCATTTCTCAAACTGTTGTCCACAAACTGCCTGGATTACTCATTACAAAAATGTAGCCTGCTGAACTAGAATGTCTGGAGGTGGAACATTTTTAACGAGGGCCTCCAAATAATTCTTAGTACACAAAAGTTTGAGGACCACTGGCAAATAACATGGTGTAAGATACTGTACTAACTGTAGTGATGTACTGGTATATTTACT